TGCCAGGCACTTTAATATATAGTATCATTTAATCTGCACAGCCCTAAAAGGTATATATTACCCCAATTATAGATGATAATAAAGATGTGCAATATTGGTACGTACGGGCACAGCCCAAAACGAATCTGTCTCTCCTGCATCCCATGCAAGCTGATAATTTAAAAATAAATATCAGCCTAAGAGCTGTGAAGAGTAGGTTAAAAGCTAACAGTAAATGCAAGGGCAGGAATAAGAACTGTCCCAACTTTCACATACCTGTGAGTTTCAGACTTTTTCATTTATTAAAATTCGGGTCCTTCTCAGGAGCTTTTGCACTATGGGTTCACTCCCCACTCAGTCTACTTGCTGTTTGTTTAGCAGACACTCAGTATCACTTTCTTTTCCTCTTTTGCTCAACTCCCCTTCTCCCTGCCCCACCTCTCCCTATTTTCCCTCTTCTTTCCATTCCACTATTTCTCAACTAACCATCAGTCTATGGAACTGAAGGATATTTTGGAATTAAAAGCTCTCAATTTTCAGTTGAGAATTCAGGTGGATAAAGGCTACCTGTCCTTCCCAAAGCAAAACAAGTTGCTTTTTTCATCCTATTTGGAAACCTACTCCCTATCCCAGTTAGAGTAAATGCTACAGATTTCTTTCCCTGAGGCATCAGGAAGACCTTCCTGACTCTGGGAGCCTAGGTGCTGATTCTGCAACCCAGCCCAGCCCAGCCCCCTGCCCTCAGCAGATCCCGAAAGGAAGCCTCCACTTGGTGGCCACCCAGTCTCCCCCTCCACCGTGTTTGGAAGGCCTCGGCAATGACTGTCCTTACAGCCCTCTCAGCTCCTGCCCCCTGTAGGCCATAGTGCCAGGTCATAAGACCTACTTCAGGACACCTGCCTCTTGCCCAGACCCCACATTTAAGGACAGTGCTCCTCTCTTTATAACTTGCCCATTTGCAATCAGGAAATGTGGGCCGAGCCAGCCGAGTGGGACTCAGACCAGGCCCTTCTCCACTGGGACAAACAGGGCCCAGTGGTTCCTGCAGCTGCTCATCGCCCAGATGTGCAGAGGACTGCGGCCTGCCAACCACAGGAGAGGAGGAAAAAGCTGAAACTAGCAAGAGGCCATCTGCCTGAAATACACCCCTTCTAACTTAAACTGATGAAACATCCAAAACAATCTCCAGTTAAAAAAAAAAAATCATTTAGCTAAAAAACAAATGGGGGTGACAAATTAAGGACACAAGATGGAGGGACAGATGTGATAAAGCAAGTATAGTAAAAGGTTAATTAATGGTAGGCCAGGCGCGGTGGCTCACGCCTGTAATCCTAGCACTCTGGGAGGCCAAGGCGGCAGATTGCTCGAGGTCAGGAGTTCGAAACCAGCCTGAGCAAGAGCGAGACCCGTCTCTACTATATAAATAGAAAGAAATCAATTGGCCAACTAATATATATAGAAAAAATTAGCCAGACATGGTGGCGCATGCCTGTAGTCCCAGCTACTCGGGAGCCTGAGGCAGGAGGATTGCTTGAGCCCAGGAGTTTGAGGTTGCTGTGAGCTAGGCTGACGCCACGGCACTCACTCTAGCCTGGGCAACAAAGCGAGACTCTGTCTCAAAAAAAAAAAAAATGGTTAATGGTAGAATCCAGGTGGTGGGTATACAGAGGTTCACTGCAAATTCTTTTTTATCTTTGGTGTATGTTTGAAATTTTCATAATAAAATGTTGGGTGTGAAGAGCAGGGGAGACCTCAGGTAACAACCAAATGCAATGTGTGGCCTTATCTGGATCCAGATTTTAATAATCTAAACACAAAATGTAATTGTTAGATTTTCAAGGTATAATGGTTTGGTGGCTAAATTTTTTGAGTTCTTATTTTATCAATAAGTACTGAAAAATTGAAGAATGAAGGAGAAAAGTTGGGTAGAGCTCAAATGAGACTTCCTGAGTTCATGATCACTGAAGCTGGTTGATGGGGTACGTGGGACTCATTCCTCTATTGTTTTTTTATGGTTTGGAAATTTCTCTGAATAAAGTTTTCTTTTCTTGTTTTTTAACCACTTGGATGGGCTCTTTGTTTTTACATGAACAAATCCCAGCACAGCCAGCAATACTCTGGGGTTCCCCTGCTTCATCCTGACTAGATCTAAACCGGATGTGAGTCTGAAGAAAATGTACAAACAGTAGCAGCTGCCTTGCCCCTGGTGGGGTGGTGAGCAACCTCCCCAGACAGGAAGAGGGTACAGGGGCCCTTCTGCTGAGGCATCTCCTGATCCTTCCTCCTACCAGACCAGAAAGTGGCCCCCACAGCTCATCCCCCAGCACCCCCTGGAGTGGAATCTACCTTCTGGGAGCTACTTTTAGTTTCCCCAGAAAATCTGAGACACAGCTGGGCCTCAAGGGCTCAGTAGAGTGGGGTTCAACTCCCTAAGTCACTTCCTCTCCTCACCCAAATTATACTCGTAAGAGTCTAACAGGCCAGGTGGGACTTTAAGAATCTCCCTTCTGGGCCGTAGGGGGGTCAGGGCCAACATCCCCAAAAAGAACAAGCTCTCCATCCCTTGAGTGATTAAGGAACCCTGCAGAGAGAGGATCAAAATAGCAGCCAATCCAAGTAATGTTCCATGTATAGGCTTCGGGAGTCAATTGTTTCCCTTCTTCATGTTTCTGTGTGTGCATGTGTCCATGTGTGAGCCTGTGCTCTGGGGTAGCGCCTCAAGATTTAACAATGGGAAAAAAAACATTCAAACAACCAAACCCCAAAACTGGCAAGAGAGACTCCACTGCCTCTCAGTCTCCTTCCTTATACTGGTCAGATCCCACAGTGATGCCAGCTCAGGCTCCAGACCCCAACTCTGACACTAGGAGACTTGGTAGCAGGGACTCAGGCTTGAGTACAGGCTTTACCACACACATATTATGTGACCTCTCTTTGGTGTCCCTATGTCTAAATGAGGACAATAACTCTTGCCCTTTTCATGGAGTTTATAAAAATTTAAAAAATAGAGAGAGCACTTTATAACTATACAATGCCATTTATCACCTATGCCGTACCAGTGTTTCTCACTGATGTTCCATAGAATATGGTCCGGGAAGGTTGAAAAACACGGCATTTATACTCTAATCTTCCCTTGTACATCGCACACAGGTAAGCACATAAAGGTTCTAAGATGTTCTGCTTTTTTATAAAAAAAGAAAAAAAAAAGAGTCTGTTTAACATCATTGACTCCATTATTACCAATTTCTTAACTCCCTAAACCAGGTGTCCTCAAACTATGGCCCTCGGGCCACATGTGGGTGTTTTTGTCCATTTGTGTTTTTACTTCAAAATAAGATATGTGCAGTGTGCATAGGAATTTGTTCATAGTTTTTTTTAAACTATAGTCCAGCCCTCCAGCGGTCTGAGTGACAGTGAACTGGCCCCCTGTTTAAAAAGTTTGAGGACCCCTGCCCTAAACCCTTTGTTCCTGGGATACCAATTCACTAACTGCTCACGCTCCCTGAGACCTCTACAGAACAGCTTAGGAAATACAGCCCTGTCAGGATACAAGGAGACCCAGTTCCTGCCCTGGTGCTGGCATGGTTCTCTGTGGTGCCACTCGTTGGGAGTCCCACACCTCACCCTGGAACCGATGCCTCCTGCCTAGGTCAGTTCTCATTCCCATCCCCACCACACAGCAATGTCGGGAACCTGCAACTTATCTACTCTGCCCTGGAACAGGCGGCTCACCAGCCTCTCCGGAACATGCCCTGCCCACTGCCCTCACTGCCATGCTCAGACCTACCTCAAGGCCTCGAACCAGTACCCCCTTAGTGTCTTGTCCTTCCTTCTCCTTGGGCAAACACACCAGCCAGGGGCTAGGACAAGTTCTGCTGCTTCCCGGAAGCCTTCCCCCCTTCCTCTGAACACCAATCCAACACACAATTGCCCTCTGATCACTTCTCCGCCTCCCATTCATTTTGGTAGCTCTTCAAGGGCTGGGATTTTCTGATATACATCTTTGAGAGGTAATAGTGCAAATGATTACAAGGATGTACTTAGAAACCTGGATTCAAATCCCCATTCCACAACTAACTGGCTAGATGACCAAGTTACTTCACGTCTCTGTGCCTCAGTTTCCCTATCTATGAAGTGGGGTAAACAAAAGTCCCTGATTCATGGGGTTGATTACTATTATTATCATCATTCCGTGTCCCCTACAGAGCCTTCCACAGGCTGGGCAGTCTTTAAAAACTCTTTATATCTGTGTTTATTCACTCCTTGCCTCCTTCCACCAAAGCTCCCATGTGGCGGTGCACACAGAGGGGGTCAGAGAGGGCTCTCCAGGCTGAGCTCAAGGCTCTAGGAACAGGATCTGAGGTTAGCGACTGGGGCGGGGTGTTCCTGCTGCCAAATCAGGGTGCTTTCCCGCCCCAGCACAAGCGCCCAGCCCAGCCAAACCAGCCCTGCTGCTAACGCCACCGAGTGCCAGGGTTGGATGGGTCCCGAGTCCGCCACAGATGAGGAAACTGAGGCTTGCCCGGCCTCTTCCCCATTTCTCCACCACTCCACCCTGGCACACGGCAAACCCCCACCCCTGCCTGCTGCGGACGGAGCTCCATTTTCAACTTTACTTGGGAGAAAAGGGTTGGGGGAGAGACAGACACGGCCTTCACCTGAAGGAGTTTAGGGACCTACCCCCGACCAGGGTAGGGTTGGGGTGGGGGGCAAGATCCTGCCCACGCTCTGATCTGATTTGTGCAGATACCACCATTTCACAGTAGACAGAGTTACCCACAAGATCCTAAAGGGCATAGGGCAAAAGTCGTTTATCTCTCTTTCCCCCAAGCACCCAACCTGCATGTGATTTTTCTCTAAGCGCAGAAGGACCTTCCTAAGTACCCTGGCTGCTCCTGCGATCAGCACAGCGAGAGCGTAGGCGGCAGTCGCCGGCGGAGGACTGTCGGGGCGCGCTTCCTGGAGGAGGCGGTGCGTTTCGCGCGCTCGCCGCGGGTGATCCAACCCCTTCCCTCACTCACCGGTGTCCAGAGAGGTGAACGCGGGGTTCGGGCTGGATCGCCGGCCGCTCCCGCCGCCGGGCATGCTCAGCGTCTGCAGCTGCCGGACCAGCTCTGGCATGCGGTCCCAGTGGCCCTCGGCGCGGCAGCGCTCCAGCTCGCTCTCCACCTTCAGGTGGGAGCCGTGCGCGCCCTTCGCAGCCATCTTCGCGCGGGCGCCGTCATGGAAGGTGCGGCCGAGAAGTGGAGACCCGGCCGGGGACGGCGTCCCGGCTGGGGCGCACACGCGGGCGGGGTCGACGGGGGCGCGGATGGCAGCTGGGGCCCGGGTGGCAGCGGCGGCCCGGGCGGCGGCGGGCGGGCAGAAGCAGCACCCAGCACACCGCCCGGGGCCTCCGGGCTGCGGCTCCGGCTGCGCGGCCGGGACGCCTCCAGGAGCAGCCTCCGCCTTTGCTGCAGCAGCTCCTGGCGCTGCTGCCGCCGCCGCTGCTGCAGCTGCTGCCACAGCCCCCGCCCCGGGCCCAGGCGCCGCCAGCTGCGGACCCGCCCCTGGCCGCTGCTCCACCTCCGCGGGGGCGTGGCGCGGCCCCGGCGAGCCGGGCGCGCGGACGGCCAGCGCGGCCACAGCAGCCAGGCGCGCGACGGGCGCTCGCGGCCTGCCCGGCGCCCGCTCCCCGCCGCCGACACCGAATCCGAGCTCACCTTAATGCTGCGCGGAGCCCCAGCGCCCGGGGGCGCCTCGCTCCCCGCCCCCTCCCCATCCCATCGGGGCTGTTGACCTGGGGCATCCCCGCCCGACGACCCGGCTTTGTGTGGTGGCCCCGTCACCGCTGCTGTCCCCCGCACGTCACAAATCCGGGGAGAGGCCGGCCAGTCTGACCCCAACTCCCGGAGCGAGCCTCTCCCGGAGCTGGCCTGCCTGCCGGGGCGCCTGCCAGGCCCTGCTGGGACCCGCGAGCCTGGCGTGCCACCCCCGGGGTGCTTGGGTGGAAACAGGCCTGTTCGGAGCCCCTTGAGCCTCTGGATGCCCCAACTTTGATGGTGTTCCGATTTTCTTTTTAACAGCGGAGTTCCTCTTTCCAACCTGACTACCTACACTAACCGGCTGGCCCGTCCTCTGCGGAATCTCTGTTGCCCTAGATTTCTTAAAGGCTTTAAGCTGTTTCTCCAACTTGATATTTATTTATTTCTTCAGTCTGATGCCCAAAGACTGATGAGAGCTGTTATGTAGTGCCCAGCAGGGCTTAGCCCAGCGCTGTGAGGTGCCGGGAAGTTCAAAGGATTAGGGGGGGATGTTGGGCCCAGAGGGAGGCCCATTCCAGAGGCCCTGCCTCCACTGCCACCAAGGTTTACAGTCCAGTATGAGAGATTGAGGACATCACTCAAGAAACGACAGCAAGACCAAAAACAGAAAAGCACCTGTATTTAAATGGCATGTAGTATGGCCTGAAAGCTCCAAAAGACAGTGGGGTCAGGGGAAGCTTTTAAGCACAAACTCCTAAGTGTTAGAAGGTGTCCGCTTCTTCCCCAACGCGGAGGTCTTCACCACTGCCTGACCCGAGGCCTTGGGAATGAGTCTGGACATTTGCAGCATCAGGAGACTTTGCTCCGCCGTTCTGGACTACTGTAACTGTGGGAAGGTTTCTGTGTCAAGCAGAGCCCAGGCTTCTGTTAGTCCCACCGGGGGCCCTTTACTTCTGGAGCCACAGGTTGGTTGTCACACCCCCAGCTCCCCCCAGACACCCTCCTTTCCAGGTTCCAAATGCAGCTCCATTACTTGCTTGGGGGGCAGGATTTCCTGACCATGGGTGCTGCTCTGGGCACCTGGGGGCTGTTCTAAACCCCCAGAGGCCAGGAGGTAGATGAAGGAAAACCAGAACAGCTCTGGATATTGGAATTTACAGACAACTTACCCAAGCAGCCTATAAACTCCTGGCCTACTCCTGTCAGCTCCTCAAACTGGCTTTGTGTTAATCTTTGGCTGCCCTTGGTGGTCATCAGAACCGGATTTCACTTGGAAACAGAGGTTGGATTAGGGTAGCCAGAGAACACACTGTGATTTGCCCCAGGCCTGGCATTCCTGGGAGCCAGCCCTGGGCCAAGAAGTGAAAGGCCGGGTTGATGAGGGAGGCAACCTTGAGAAAAATAGGGAGACCTTCCCTCCTCCCTCTTTTCTCCCCAGTCCTTTGCCAACTCCACCCCCAGGATGCAGAACACTGGGGAACTATATAAAGAGGGAATCACTGCTTGCTGCTTTGACAGGGTCACCAATATATGTGTGGGCATGAGGGGGTGTAGGGAGGAACATGGTCTTCTTGGGTCACATTTATAACAAGCTGTTCCTTAACACTGCGAAATATGCCTGCCTGCAGTGTCCAGAAAGATCTAGGAATGCTCATAATTATCTCTTAATTATTGAGCAGGAACATTTTGCAGAGCGTTGTCTGGAGTGAGGGATTTACCTCCACGGGATACATCTTGTCTTAGGTAATGCACTTTCCTTTGACAAATTAAGTTCTCCATGGAACTCATGTGCTAAAAGAGGAAGCAGAGGAATCAGTCTTAGAGCTCACCTCATCTGTAGAATGCAGAAAAGATTGTCCACATATTGGATAGGAATAGACTCATAGGACAATTTAAGGCCTGTGGGGTCCTGGTTGTGCACCTGTGAAAAGTAGAAGGGACTCAGCAAACTCTGTGGCACAGCAGTCCAGGTGCTGCACAATAGAGTACTGGCTATTTTTTTTTATCTAAAGCGGCACCGAAGAAAGCACAGCACAGATCTATAATTGTAAAACACATAATCTCCTGAGCTCTCAAAGATAGTATTTCCATTTTGTACCCTCGAGAGGCTGAGAATGATTATTTTACTGACATTATTGTTGTTGTTGATGATGATGATATTATTGGACCCAGAGCAATCAGAAGTCGGACTTATTTATGGCCCTGGGGTCCAAAACAAATCCATACACCTGCCCACTGGAATTTGTGACTGGGAGGATAAGAGCGTTACAAGGACTGAGATAGGATATGAAGACTACTTCTCTTTAAGGCATTTGATTATTAGTTTTACTCCTTGGTTAGCACCTTGTTTTAGAGGCTATTGTGCAAGTTTGGGTAGAGGTTTAGGTGGGTGAACCTTAATAGGTTTTAGCTCCAGTAGAGTGTTGGTATAATTTTTTGACCACATGAGGGCTTCAACCTAATGCTTGCCTTATACACAAAACTACTGACAAATCAATATCCAAAGTTTCTTAGTTCTAGGGCTCTTTTAAAATGTTCATCGAGGTTTAGGAGATCTGGCCGTGGAGCTATTTCCCATTCTAGTTTTGCTTGCATATTAAATTCCCTATTTCTGGTTTAAGGCAATTTGAAAGAATAGAAAAGAGCCAGGTCACATGTGCTTCAGGATCTACTTCTGAATGCCTTCGCTAGGTACTAACGGGCCTAACCCTGAAGTCTCCATCAGACTGCTTCTCTCTTGATGAAGAACTAAATCAGAGAACATTTTGCTTTCACAGGGAAGACTAGGATTGTCTCCAAAAGACCCTGACCTACATCAACAGCTTTCTGGAACCCCTTCGGTTTCCTATGCAATCCATGGTCTTTTAAGTCACCGTTTGGGGGATCTTACCATTCCATCTTTTTCACTGAATGTTTTATATCTGAAGTTCCAACTAGCACATAAACTAATCATTATATATCTCATTACTCCAGATTATATGTCTCTAAAACAATTCTAAACTCCTCTGCAATATTCTATCTTGTCTAGGCTTTGAAGAGTCTTTGACAATGGCTTTTAGCTGTAAATGAAACCAGGGCTTAAAATCCACCAGAGATTTTTTTATTCGGAAAGAGGTTTACCTTAGAGTTAGGTGAGCTCTGGGGCACCTGGCCAGCCAGGAAGAAAGGGGAGTGGGCCAGAAGGAGAGAGAAAGGCAGAGGGAGATGGAGGAGCATAGGATGGGGGAAGAAGAATAGTAGGTTTGAGCTGCGATGTTGGGGGCTGTAGAGGGTTAGCTAAAAGGTAGCTTTAAGTTGTTCACCTTTTTATTTCGTTTTGGCCAAGGAATCTGCTAGACAATTAATTTTGGAATCTGCTTTCTTTTAGATACTTTCTCATGCTAATAAGAAAATGAAGGCCATTAGATGTTTGGAATTGTGTTCCCTTTTCATTCTAAAGCACTTCTCAAGTGAATAATTTTGTTCCTATCAGAAGTTCCTCATAGTGGCCACTGTAATTCTAAACTACCCTTGGCGAAATGATGCTCTTAAGAAAGATAAGCACATACATTTGGGTTATAGCCTAAATACATGTAGGAAGCAGAAGTCTAGTGCAAGGAGGCCATAACCGAGGTTCACACTAAGATAAGCACATCAGAGTCTGCAAATTGTGCTTCAGGAGTTGCCTGTGCATCTTGTGGCTCAGGCCCCCCAACCTCACGCTAGACCTTCTCCAACTAGAGCCCAGTGAATTTATAGTTCCCAGCACACGGAGGGTTTGGAGAGATCTCTCCAGCTAAAATAAGACAGGTCTGAGAAAAATTCTCATAAAATTTTGACCAGAGACAAAACTCTGTCCCTGGGCCGGTTTATGGACAGACTTACTGAGACCCACACCTGTCCTCTTCACCAGATGCACAACAAAAAATGACAAAGATGGATGTAGCAGTAGTGTCATTAATAATAAGATAGATAGATGCTAAGGAGAAAAGTTTTTAAATATGGTCAAGGATTCCTAAAAGGGATTACCTTATTGTTAGGAGACAAAATAGACTCAGTATTTGGGGAGCTAAATAAAAAGAAGAATTAAAAAAAGAAATTGGAGTTTGGGCCCAATACAAGACTTACATATCTATGTTTTCAGTCTGAAATACCCCCAAGCAGGGAGGGCTCTGAGGATCACACCACTCCTGAGTCAGGGGTCTTGGACTGCAGTGGCAAGATCTCAGCTGGATCTCGGTGGGCCTCAATAATTGAATGCTGGCTCCCTGAAAATCCCACCAAGACAACTCTGTGCTACGGCAAAGCTGAGTTTGTTCTCATTGCAGGGAGAGAGAGAGTCATAGCATCTAGAATGGGGAGGGCAAAGTTGGAATATTTATGAAGTGTTGGGGTCTATTTTAAGGCAGCTCTTCCAGTGAGGGGGCTTGCTGAGGCCTGGGCAAGAATCATGATACAATAGCTTGGGATTGTTGGACAGGGTAAGGTGAGGCTTTTGAGGCGAGAGTTTCAAAGTGTCTCAGAGAGTAAACAGTGGTTTGAAGCTATCTATTGAAAAGTTGCAGAGTTCATTGAAATGGCTTCTTTTTAAAACTTCTGCAAAAAACAGTAAAGTTACTTACAATTTTTATCACCCTGGGCAAGAGTTTCCTGCAATAGTGAAGCCATGTCGATGTCAGCAGTGAGCTGGTTGGGTGTAGATGGTTTCTGCTCTTCCTGTGTACTCA